TTCTGTTTTTGTTTTTCGAGTCAGGGTTTTGAAGACAGAAGTTTCTGTACCAAAAGTCGCTCCCAAGTAACCACACAGAGGCTTAATATTAATTATAAATGCTCAGCCAATAGCTCAGACTTGTTACTAGCTAATTCTTACATTTTCAATTAACACATATTTTTACCTATACCTTGACACCTGGCTTGGTACTTTCTCAGTACAGCATGTCCATCTTGCTTCTCTCTGTGTCTGCTTTTGCTATTCCTCAGACTCTGCCCTTCTTTTTCCCAGCATTCTCTGTTTGACTCTACCTCTAGCTTTATCCTGTTTAACTATTGGCCAGTCAGTTTCTTTATTAAACCAATCACAGCAACATATATTCACACAGTGTAAAGAAATATTCCACAGGGTTTCTCTGTTTAGCCCTGGCTGTCCTGGAACTTACTCTGTAGACCAGGCTGGCCTTGAACTCACAAAGATCTGTCTACTTCTGCCTCCCAAGTGCTGGGACTAAAGCCATGCACTGTCATAGCCCAGCCAGCCTGGGCCATTTAATGAATTTGAGCCAATGAAGCTATGGCGTGAGACATCTCTCAAAACAATAGCAGCAAGAGCAACAAAAAGAAAAGCAACATTTTAGTATTGCTGTAAAAATCCTTTCTACGTGGTCCCATCGTGGCCCCCCCCCAGTTCTCACATTCTACCCTTAGTGAACTGCTATGTTGTGACTACTTTAGGAACACCCCTGGAGAGTGGAAGGAGCAATTTCCTGGGGAAGCAGCGTAGAATATGTCCCCTGTCAGAGAGGATGGCGTGTCTGCAGTCCCATTTATTCCAGAGACTGAGGCAAGAGGACATTTGATCCTGTTCAACGCCTGTCTGGACAATAGAGTGAGAATAGTCTTCTAAAAAAATGTAGAAGCTGGACGTGGGTGGCGCACGCCTTTAATCCCAGCACTCAGGAGACAGAGGCAGGCGGATCTCTGTGAGTTCAAGGCCAGCCTGGTCTACAGTTCCAGGATAGCTAAGGCTACACAAGAAAACCCTGTCTTAAAAAACCAAACCAAAACAAAACAAAAAAAAAACAAGAATCAAAACCAAATCTTCAACAAAAATATTCTTATATTAGCAAATAATTCACAGTATGACTCAGAATGGATTTTAAAAATTATTTTAAGCTATTAAATCAAAATGACTATTATTTAAAATTATTTATTTAGAATAACTGGCAATATAATTTATAATATGACTTAGAATGAATTTTTATTTAAAAACTTTAAAAATTATTTCAAAATATTAAATTAAAATTATCATTATTTTAAATTATTTTTTAAAATAGTTAAAATTATTAAATATTAAGATATTTTAAATTATTGTGATTTATCAGGAATTCTGAGACCTATGGATTTGACATATAAATTACTGTTCTGCTAAATAGATCAGAGACATAGAAAACATTTTCAGTAAAGTTTCATGGCAGCCAATTGTCCCTTTAAATGTACTTGTATTTAGTCTCTTTCAAGTGTTTTCCCTGCGGAAGGCTCCTGAAGGGATGGGTGTCACTAACAAGGTTTCTCGCTCGTTCCTGGGCATTAGGTTTCGGTTCTGAGAATAAATGTTGAGCAGTTTCTGGTTCTCACAGGTGGCTCAGCCTCCACACGGGGTCTGAATCACGAGTAGAAATCGGCCAAGTGAAAGGAATGGAGGGATGGGGGTTGTTTTAGTTTCCTCTCTGACGCTTTGACAAACGTTCTCACCTAGCTGGGCTGTGGCGGCACACACCTTTAATCCCAGAGTAGATGCTGGAGGGTCTCTGAGTTCAAGATCAGCCTGGTCTACAGAGTGCTGTCCAGGACAGCCAGGGCTACACAGAGAAACGCTATCTGGAAAAAACAAAAACAAAACAAAAAGCCCAAAGCCTCTTCCCCCCCCCCCCCCCCCCCAAAAAAAATCTGACCAAAAACAATGTAGAAGAGGAATGGATTTGCTTGGCCTACCCTAGTCTGCCATTGAAGAAAGTCAAGGCGGGAAGCTGACTGCAGTGAGCAGCTATTCCACAGCCTTATCTCCAACTGAGGAACTTATGTCAAGGTCAAAGAAGTAGAGCGCGAACCACAGGGGGTGCTGCTTGCTGGTATCTTCTGTCTAGGGGATCTTAGCACGGAGAGCTGAGTCTTTCTACATCAATTAACAATCAAGGTCCCATAGACATACCCCCAGGCCAATCTGATCTAGGTAATTTCTCTCTTGAAGTTCTCCTGACAGCTGACTCTAGGCCGGTCAAGTTGAGGAGCTAACCAGAATCCGTAGCTTCGAGGTCGAGCCCTTGCCTAGGCCTTGGTTTCTATCAGCATTCAGAAGGACAGTAGGAAGGGAGGTAGAAAGAGAGGAGGAGAGGGAGGGAAGGAGAGAGAGCGAGAGCCTTCTAGGCAGCCTGAGGATTTTGAAACTGTGAGGTCTGGATAGGTCTGAAGTCCTTCCAGGGAAGCCACTCTAGCTGGAGACTGTTGGGAAGGTGGCCCAGGGTGCAAGCAGAGTGGCAGCTGGAGGGCTGGAGGTCAGGGAAGCGGCCATGTGGTGGCTTCCCTCAGTCCTGGCACCATGCACAAAGCACATCTCTCTTGCAATGTTTGCACCATCCTCATCTAGGTTTTCACAGAAGTGCTCCCTGTTTCTCCGATCTCTTTGTTCTTCCTGTCAGCCCTCCATTTGCTCTTTGTGTGGTGGCTCCCTGAATTCCTTCAGCTGTTCTCCTCAGGATGTGCTCCCTGAAGCAAGGCTTTGCTGTGCTCTTCAGTATGCCCAAAGGGGGTCGGTGCTCAGAGATATTTGTTGGACAGATGGATGGATGGATAGATGGACAGATGGATGGGGGAACAAATGGGTTTGAGATCCAGACCACACTGTTTTTTCTATAAATGTGTGTGTGTGTGTGTGTGTGTGTTATAGGTATGTGAGTGTAAATACCCCTGGACTGAGTTACAGGCACTTGTGGGTCACCCACAAGGGTGTTGGGAACAGAATTCAAGTCAAGAGCAGGACCCCTGACTCCACTTTGGAACAGAGAGTGACACCCACTCTGCAGCCTTTATAGAATAAAGGGAGAGAGACATAGCTTTGAAGGAGCATGGACAGTGGGGGAAACTATGGAGCAGAGCTTGAGAAGTAGGGTAAAGGATTATTTCATTTCATTTCTTTATTTTTGAGGCAGACTCTCACTGTGTAGCTCTGGCTGACCTTCAGTTCACGGAGATCTGCCTCCCTAGCGCTAGGATTAAAAGTGTGTGCCACCATGCTTGGCTTTAATCTTTAATGTATCTAGATTATTGTTTTGAAATAACTCCAGGATACTTTTTGGTGGGAGCCGTGTTTGAGACAGGATCTAAGGCAGCCCAGGCTGATCTCCAACTCACAGCGCAGCTGAGGATGACCTTGAACCTCCTGCCTCTGCCTCCCAGATTCTGGAACTGCACACCTGTGCCTCCTCCTGTAGCCACCGAGCTAACATCAGGACTTTGTAAAGATGGAGTTGTAAGACAGTGCGAACAGGAGCCATGCTTCCCCTCCCCCAGCCTTCCCTAATAGTACAGACCTCAAATACAGTTCTCAAAACAGAGAACTGATTTTTTTTTTCAGTTCTGGAGGTGGAAGCCAAGATAACACGTATGAGAGTGAGTGTTCCCTCACCAAGCTTCACTTCCAGCCCCAGGAAGTTCATGTTGAGGCAACATTAATAATTAAATCATGGCTGTTATTTGAAATTTATCAGATTTTTTTTCTCTAGTTAAACGTTTACTCTGTTCCAAGATAAAATCCAGGATTCTAAATTGCATTTAGTCTCTCTGTCTCTCTTTCTCTGTCTCTGTCTCTCTCTGTTGCTCTCTCTCTCTCTGTTTCTCTCTCTCTCTCTCTCTCTCTCTCTGTGTTTGTGGTGTGTGTTTGTGGTGTGTGTGTGTGCTTGTGTGATCTATTTATGTTTTGAGACAGAGTTTCATGCTATAGCCCAGACTAGTCTTCAACTCACTAAGTAGCCCAGGCTGGCCTGATATTCACTTAATCCTCTTGCCTCAACCTCTCACGTGCTGAGATTATGTATGTGAGTCACCATGTCTAACCACATAGATGTTCAATCTTCGATAATCTCTGACAGTTCCTCAGGCTTTCCTTGTCTTTCGTGACAATGACTCTTAAATAGGCACTGGCCAGTCATATTGAAGGATGTTTATAGTTTTGGTGTGTTGGGTTTTGGGTGGAGTAGGAGGGTAGGCTGGAGGTCCAACCCTTGGTCACATGCATGCCAAGCAACAGACCACTGTGCTATAGCTGTTTGTCTGTTGAATGGATAAGAAAAATTGAGACAGACTCTCATTATGTAGTTTAAGTTGTCCTAAAACTCCTTTCCTAGACCAGGTTGGCCTCAAAACCATGGTGATTTTCCCGCCTCTGCCTGTCAAGTGAATTCCACTGCAGGTGTGTACCCCAAGGCCTATCCTAAAACGTTTTGCAATATGAACTTTTTAATACCCTTTTTATTTTATTTTATTTTATTTTATTTTATTTTATTTTATTTATTTTATGCATGTGAGTGTTTGTCTGCATGTCTGTGCACCATGTGTGTGCCTGGTGCCTGGTGCAGGTCCAGAAAGGGCATCAGGTCCCCTGGAACTGGAGTTACAGCACATACGTACACCAGGTGTACAGCACACACAGAGGCACACACACAGAAATCAGGTGACTAGTACAAGCAGTTCTTGGCTTCTTCCATGTAGGTCCTGGGGATCCAATCAGGCTACCAGACTTGGCGTCAGGCGCCTCTAGCCACTGAATCATCTCATAGGCAGCTAACTGTATTTATGTAGGCTCTGCCTCATCAACTCTCTTAATCCTTGGGATTACATTTCAACATGAATTCTAGAGAGGTCCCCAACATTCAAACTGTAGCAAAGAGCCTTGCAATTTGAGGTAGAGGATTCCCTCGTTGGCTGTTTATTAACCAGAATCTTTGCATGCTCTTCTAGGCATATACAGCACCCCATGATCAGGTGACCCTTCCAGCCCAGAGCAATGGAGCAAAATGAATCCTCCCGTGTGGATTCTGAATTTCGATACACCCTCTTTCCGGTTGTTTACAGTATCATCTTTGTGTTGGGGGTGATTGCCAATAGCTATGTGCTATGGGTCTTTGCCCGCTTGTACCCTTCCAAGAAACTGAACGAGATAAAGATCTTCATGGTGAACCTCACCGTTGCCGACCTGCTTTTCTTGATCACCCTCCCGCTGTGGATTGTCTACTATTACAATGAAGGCAACTGGATTCTACACAAATTCCTGTGCAACCTGGCTGGCTGCCTCTTCTTCATCAATACCTACTGTAGTGTGGCCTTCCTGGGTGTCATCACTTATAACCGCTACCAGGCAGTGGCCTATCCCATCAAGACGGCTCAGTCCACCACCCGCAAGCGTGGCATCTCTTTGTGCGTGGTCATTTGGATATCCATCGTGGCTACTGCCTTATACTTCCTGGCCACGGACTCCACCAACGTGGTTCGCACAAAAGATGGCTCAGGCAACATCACCCGCTGCTTTGAGCACTATGAGCCGCGCAGTGTGCCGATCCTTGTGGTTCACGTCTTCATCGCATTCTGTTTCTTCCTCGTCTTCCTTCTTATCCTCTTCTGCAACCTGGTCATCATCCACACGCTGCTCACGCTGAAGGTACGGCAGCAACGCAAACCTGAAGTGAAGCGCCGGGCACTGTGGATGGTCTGCACCGTCTTGGCGGTGTTCATCATCTGTTTTGTGCCCCATCATATGGTCCAGCTGCCCTGGACCCTCGCAGAGCTGGGCTACCAGACCAGCTTCCACCAGGCTATTAATGATGCCCATCAGATCACCCTCTGCCTCCTCAGCACCAACTGTGTCTTAGACCCTGTAATCTACTGCTTTCTTACCAAGAAGTTCCGAAAGCACCTCAGCGAAAAGTTTTCCAACATGCGCAGTAGCCGGAAGTGCTCCCGGGCCACTACTGACACGGGCACCGAAGTGATGGTTCCGGTCGACCAGACTCCTGTCATGTTGCTAAAAAATTAATCTCTGTCTTATTAAAGACAGACCCAGAGTCTCCTCTTCCGTGGACCTCACAGCCTGAGCTGGGAGGTGAGAGGCTTCTGCTTGTGGACAACCCCTCCTGGGACCATGGCAGACCACTGAGGGCAGAGGTTCCTTTCTCACCTAGACGCTGGTTGACGGCACTGCCAGCATGTTGGAAAATACCGAACTTGAATGCTCCTTTTTACTCATCTGTGGGTTAATACTAGCGACTGTGGCTGATGGCTTCATCCAGAGCTTTTGAATCTGACATCCCGGCTAGGGCCAAACCTTGGGCTTAGACTCTGAGTTACCCGGTTCTTCCGACTGGGGCCATAGTATTGGGCACTGCCTCCTGCTGCAGGCAGGGGAGGAGTTATGGGCGAGCATCGCTTCACTGATCCTGTGGAAGATCTTTGTGGGAACAGTAGGTTTAGGATGGCGCCCTGCTTTCTCCACCCCCAGGTACAAGGTCTCTGTGACACTTTTAGAGGAAGTGGTTTGATGGAAGCCTCTGATGACCCAGAAACTTATCTCAAATGTAACCAGAGGAAATAATACAAAATCTGACCAGAATCTAGGATGGGAGCGGATTTCCCGAGGCAGCTGAGTTTCCAGCCAGGCCTGAGAGTCTAGGAGAGAGATGGCTCCCTCAGGACCCTGCAGTTTCAACTGCCGGCAGGAGCCAGCTTCTTTTGGTGACCCCTGAACACCTGATGGTGACTTTTTGACAAGTGTGTTAGTCACACTTCACTCGCTGTGCCCAGCCCTTCTGTCAGAAACAACCGACGGAAGGAGAGATTTATTTGGCTCACAGTTTCAGAGGACTTCACTCCATCACGGCAACCAAGGCCTGCTGGGGCAGCTCAGACTATTGGTGGCAGGAACAGGAGGCAGAGGTTGTTCATGTGGCAGTGAGCCAGGAGACAAAGCAGCCCTTTAAACTGGGGCTGGGTACAATCTTCAGAAGCCCCCTGCCAGCTGCCCATTTCTACAGCCGGGTCCTACCTCCTCCCGGTTCCACAGGCTCCCACAATAACACCAATAATGTGAGAATGAACACAGAGACCGCGGCCCTGGGCCAGTGAGATCAGGTAAAGGCTCTTGCTGCTAACACGGACAATCAGAGTTGGATCCCAGAACCCATATGGTGGATCGGGAACAGACTTCTGCAGGTTGTCCTTTGACCTCTTCATGCATGTTGTGTCACGCACATGCCCCGCCTCCCCCATATACACATAAATATACATACAAAATAATGCAACAGAGCAAGACAAACGTGGCCCCGTGGAGGTGCAGGGTATTTCAGATTCAAAATACAAGAACTATTACATTCACACGAGGTCCTCTCCTGCTCTCTAAACAGGAGCAGGAATGGCAGACTCAGAACTCTGAGAAATTTTCCTGGTTCCCTGAGCCTTGTGTTCCTTAAAAAACATGTTCTTGGGGGCTGGAGAGATGGCTCAGTAGTTAAGAGCACTGACTGCTCTTCCAAAGGACCTGGGTTCAATTCCCAGCGCCCACATGGCAGCTCACAACTGTCTGAAGATCCAGTTCCAGGGGATCTGACACCTTCACACCAATGCACATTAAATAAACCATAAATTTTTTTTTTTTATGTTCTTCCTTCCAGCTAGGGTCCCCTTCCAGCCAGTGTCCCCTTCCAGCTAGTGTTCCCTTGACTTTGGGTCAGTTGATTCCTGTCTGCCAGACAATCATGGGGCTTGTTCCAATAAGCTGGTAACCTGCTTGGGTTTGGGGTGATGGCCATGGGCTGTCCCTAGCTGAAGGTGACTACGTAGCTAAAGCAACACACTTGAACTTTGGCATCTTACAAACTCAGGCTCAAGGTTTATCTGTGCTTGGTGCTGTCTAGGAAGTGGGAATTTGACTTTCTGCATCTTAGTGTTATTAGCTGGGAGGTGCGGCCTACCTCACGGGGCTGTTACCAATGAGCAGAGCTTGCTCAGCTGACTCTTGATTGCTCATCCCTGATGCTCCCCGCGATCCTCTGATAGGACCTGAAGGGGTGAGAGTTGGACATGTGGATTCGGGATGCTGTTTGGGGATTTACAAGCCATGTACTGAAGTCAGTTAAACTCCGGAGCTGTGGCCATGTCTGTGCGTAAAGTGAGTGTGTGGGGTGGCCACCTGGGCAGACAAATGGCTTTTCAAAGAAGGCAGATGTGCTAGGCAAAGCAGAGGCCAGAGAGGACCCATTTTCAGTGGTTCTCAAATCTCCCTCATGCTGCGACCCGCTTCATATAATTCCTCATGTTTTGCTGACCCCCAACCATAAAATTATTTTCATTGTTACCTCATAACTAATTTTGCTACTGTTATGAATCATAATGTAATGTAGATATTTATGGAGAGAGAGGTTTGCCAAAGTGCTCTCGACCCCACAGGTTGAGAAATACTGCACCGAAGCCCGGAGAGACGAGAAGACACAGCCTCCTGGGGCCAGAGGGCATTCCTGCATGCTTTCGCTTGAGCTGCGAGACGTTTTCTTGGCAGGATTCCTTCTTGCTTAAACTCATTCGGATGGGGGTCTAGCACCTTCAATCAAACAACCTTCTTCTCTATGTTTCTGTGCTAATACAGTACATTCTGAACTTGTTCATTTGTATATCCTCCTTGTCATTGTTTTGTAATATCCATGTACCATGGTATGTTTACTTAATAAATATTTTTGTTTTTAAATTGGGTCAGTTTTTAAAACTTACACTCCTACCTCACAGGCACCCTGTAAAGATTTTTCTGCCCATTTTACAGGTGGGAAAAAGGAGGCTAGGAGGGACTGAGTCAAGGTGAAAGAGAGAGTAAGTGGCAGAGTCATTAATATTTAAAACTAGAACCCTGGGTAAGCACAGGCTCCCAGGGTTGCTGTGTAACTGTACCAGTACCCTACTTCTTTTAAGCATCTTGTGTGTGCTGGGGCCGGAGCTGGGATAGGCTTTCACCCCGATGTTAGAGGTCTCTTTTGCAGCTCAAGCCACCTGAAACCCCATGGGGACTCTTCCCAGACATAGATACCTATGATCAGGACTTGGGACATTGGTTCTTAGATATTACACCCAAATGGTTCTAAGAACCCTGGGAGCCAGAGCTCCATTGCTGCTGAAGCCAGGCGGAGAGGTCACTAATCATGAGGCTGAATTCACTTGTCAGCTTGCAGAGCTCTAGAACCTTCTAGAAATAAGAGTCTCTCTGGTCTGTACACCCATAAGCAGTGCCGTCTGGTCATTTGGAACCACACTTACACCTAGCTTGATGAAGTGCTGCCAATTTGGTCCTGAAGTGACTGCAGGCAGTCCACACTCCCACCCGTTGCTTTATGAAGCTTTTGTTGTGTGTTTTGTTTGGATGCAGGGTTTCACCATGTAGCCTTGGCTGTCCTGGAACCTGCCCCTGCTTCCCAAGTGCTTTGATTAAAGGTGTGCACCACTATACTCCTGCCTATTATTTTCTCATTAGCCTATATTAATTATACAAAATAACGTATTGGCATTTTCATACACATATTAACTGTACTTGGAACATATCCCACCCTCCCCCCCTGTGCTTCCTCTCGCCCTCCCCCAACTCCTGCTGATCCCTTCCTAGCCCCCTTCCTCTTCTGAGCTGGCTTCACTTCCACTTTTGCGTCTCTTTCTGCTGTGTGACTCAGAGTTTCTCTAGTGCTGTTTACTGGAGTATGGACCCCTTACCTGTCCTTCACCATTGAAGATGTCTGTTCCTCTCCATCAACAGTTAATTGTATGCAAATCCTCAGGGAGGACTGAAGTCCCAGGAGGGACCCACCCATGGGTTCTGTTTCCTGGAGTCACAACCATCCTGTACCTGTATTGCCCGCCTTTCACGCCACAGAATGTCCAGTCAAATCGTGGTTTTAGTTTGAGTCTCTCAGATTACTAAGGGAGTGTTTTCAGGTACTTATTACTAATTTGTGTTCAGATTCAAATCATTCAAATGCTAAAGCTTACTGTTCCATGTCACAGAGTGACCAATAAAGAGGCTACTGAGACGTGTGGCCAGGGCTTCTTTCTGCACCAGATTCTAGTCTGTGATTTTGGACACACTATGGAACCTCTCTGGGCCTGTTTCTGTTAAGTGGGAATACTGGCCAGGTGTGGTGGCTCACACCTGTAATTCTAGCACTTGAGAGGCTGAGGCAGGAACTTGCTACAACTTCAAGACCACTCTGGGCTATATGGGTAAGTATCAGGTCAACTAAGGTTGCATAGAAAAATTTTGTCTATTTTTTTTTTAAATTTATTTCAGTATTTTGAGACAGAGTCTCTCTATGCCTGGCTGTCCTGGAACTAGTTCTGTAGACCAGGCTGGCCTCAAACTCACAGAGACCCGCATGCCTCCGCCTCCTGAGTGCTGGGATTAAGGGCATGTGCCATCACCACCTGGCTATAAAAATAATTATTTTAAAGAATACATATATTGCCAATGTAAGAAACCATTTTGTGGGTTAAGAGTTGCTTAGGACAGTCCCTGGCACAGAATAAATGTCCTCAATGTTGCTCCTGTCCTTAAATGTTGCCCCTATATATTGCCTCTGCTCCATAGAGCCCCTATATTCAAGACTGCCTGCCGTGAGCCCTCTTCCCCTTATGACCGGGTTCTCATTGTGTAACCTGGTATTTTCCATACAAATGGGAAAATGCAGAGAGGAACTGGGTGTTACCAGTCAGGCTTTTCTTTGCTTTTACTTCTAGGAGATTCTACAATTCACCAGAGAGGGTTTTTAAGAAGCCAGAGCCATTACACACATGAGTCAGGGGATTTCAGTCTTTGGATGGTCATGAGGAAGGAGTAAGTTCCTTTTTTCCCTGGAGTTAGGGTTTTTCTGCGTAGCCCTTGCTTTCTTGGAACTCATTCAGTGGACCAGGCTGGCCTCGAACTCACTGAGATCCACTTGTCTCTGCCTTCCTTCTGTATAGCTTACTTTCACTGCTTCTTGTGTCTGTCTGTCCGGGGGCTGCCTGATTTCTGGCCCTGGACATGTCCCTCTTCTTCTTCCTCATTCTCTTCTTTCGACTAGATTTCTCCTCCTATTTATTCTGTCCGGCAACCCCACTATCCATCCCTCTCCTGTCTAGCTATTGACTGTTCCGCTTTTTATTAGACCAATCAGGGGCTTTAGGCAGGCAAAGTGCCACAAATGCAACACATCTTTACATAATAAACAAATGTAGCACAAACAAATGTAACACACTGTTACACAGTTAATCTCCTACAGCGGAAACAAATGTAACACACTGTTACACAGTTAATCTCCTATAGCGAAACAAATGTAACACACTGTTACACAGTTAATCTTCCGCAGCAAAACAAATGTCACACACTGTTACACAGTTAATCTCCTACAGCGGAAACAAATGTAACACACTGTTACACAGTTAATCTCCCACTGCGGAAACAACTGTAACACGTCTTTACACAGTTAATCTCCTACAGCGGAAACAAATGTCACAAACACATCTTTGCCTAATTAACATAATAGTCCACAACAGATGAGCAGGTTGGTGGGGGCACATGCCTTTAATCCTAGTACTCAAGAGGCAGAGGCAGGCAGAAGAGGCCAGCCTGGTTTACAAAGGGACTGCTAGGACAGCCAGGACTACACAGAGAGAAACCCTGTCTCAATAACTAACTAATTAATTAAATAACAAAAATCAAGCAATGGAAAGCACGGATGAATCTTGACGAGGTTGTGTTAAATGATTAAAGCCAGGCATCGAAGGACAAATGTGTGATCCCACTATGCGCCCAGTGCCTGTAGGGGCCAGAGAGGGCGCTGGGTCCTCTGTAACTGCAGTTACAAATGGTTGTGAGCCCCTGTTTGGGTTCTGGAACTGAATCTGGGTCCACTGCAAAATCAGCAAGTATTCTTAAATACTGAGCCATCATCCCTCTTGCCCCATAAAACGATGAATTTTATGCCGCCATAATGTGATGGTGTCAATTGTTAGCTTGATAAAATCTAGAATCACCTGAAGATGGACTTCCGGTATGCCTGTGAGAGATTATTCTGATTGGGTTAACTGAGGCGGAAGAACTGCCCATGGTGAGTGTCCCCATTCCCTGGCTGAGATCATGATTTGTCAAACATAGTGTTTCTCAACCTTCCTAATGCTGTGACTTTTTAATACAACTCCTCACATTGAGGTGACCCCTAGCCATAAAGTCATTTTTGTTCAGTGTGTGAAGCCCAGGGTCTGGCCCTCCACCTGAGAGCCTGTTGGTGTCCTTGGGCCATGCTGCTGCTGAACCATACTGATCTGGGTGGCTTGTGCTGCCAGTGGGGCCATGGTGACATCTGGACTTGAGTTGCTGCTGAGAGCCATGTCTGGGTCCATGGTCCTGCTGCCCCTGGAGTCTGTGAGAGATGGTCCCACCCTTCACCGTGGGTATGGGAGAGCTGGTTCCACTCCTTGCCTGAGGCCCCAGCGGTCAGGACTGATCAGTTCAGTTACCACCCAGACCCATTCCCAGGGCTTTGAATTGGCCCACCCCAGCATCTAACCCATTTGTCTTGTTAGGGTTTTTTTTTTTTTTTTTTTTTTTTTTTTTTTTTTTTTTTTTTTTTTTTTT